CGTGCCAGATAAAAGCAAAGGTTGAAGTTCAAGCTTTTTTCCTCAAATTTTTGTAGCTTTCTTGAACTTTTGAGAATATATTATGAACTTCAGATGATGTGTTACAAGGAAATGCAGAAGAAAATATGATTATTGGGAATGATGAAGCTAATAAAAGCAGTCTGCCAGTTAAAACAAGGGATGTTCAAAAACGAAAGAGAAATCTCAGATACGAAGGAAACGAGAAACGAAAGAATATCATGGTGCAGAATAAATCTGGAGCTGAATCATCTTCAGAAGGTTTCAGCTAGTGATTTATGTGACTTAAACTTAAAATTAGTATGCAAATAGATGTTCTTACAGTTCTCCATATATTAAATCGAACAGGAGTTTCATTGCTGTTTTCAGATTTTGAATTTTTGCGTTGTTATTGCTATTAGAAGCAAACGATGGAAGGGGAAGCTTATGTTTGCTAGCATTATTCAAGACCCACTATTTCAATTTTTCTAGCACTTTAAAAACTTTCAATTTAAAATGTGAACTTTTTGCTCACTTCTTGACAGATTTCATTTCTGTAGTTCTCTTGATTAAAAACATCGCACCTTTTATTCTTCTTTTACTGTTTTCTACTTTTAGGATTTCAAAAATTCATCTCTTTCATAACTTATGTTTAATATCTATTATTTTAGAAGTTTTGGAGAGCAGGACGTTGTTGGAAAGCCAGAAGTTACATCCGTCGTGGATTGCTAAAAAACAAGAACGTGAAGCCTTAAAAAAATTAAAAGCATCATGTAAAGCGAAGAAGATTGTCTTCGATGATGATTGAAGTATTCGATGTGTTTTCATTCTCATTTAATAAATGGCTTCATTGTATTTTCCGGGTTTATTTTTGGTAATTTATTCAATTTCTCATGCTAGCTTTCTTTATGAGATGCATTCCGAAACTCGAAATAATTTTATAAAATTACTTAATAATTAAGGCGACTTGATTTTCACACATTTATTTCCCTAACACAGTTGAACTAAGCTTAATTTCAATGGGATTTGATATGATCTGTGGATTGGAAATTTGAGTTTAGCTGAATGGGTTAAATTCAAGTGCGTAATTATAATTAAATGGTGTTCAAAAACTTGATTTATCCAAATTTGAAGTATGGAAAAGAAAGGAAAAGTGTGAAATGAAAAGAGTGTTGGCACTCGTAAATGGAATATTACCCGTACCATTATTTTATTGACAGCAATTATCATTGATTTTTACCCTGTCATCCGTGACAGTTAACAATGAAAAAAAGCGATCACGGAAATTGAGCAGATATCATCAAATTCGATCTTTTTTCTTTATTTTAATATCGTTTTCCTGAATTGTTCAATTTTTCATCTCAAATTTATATTCACACTGAATTGATCATATCGCGTAGTTCAGATGTTCTATAAATCTTATCAATATCCTGAAATATTTCTTATCAATTTTAAAATTATGGCTAATTTTTAATAATGATCATAATTTATTAATGAAATTAAATACCACATAGAGTCTAATTATTGGTACTAATAGATCAAGTAAATGTAATAAGACCTGACAATATAAGAAGAGTAATTTCGTTGTAAAAATTACATCTGTAATTAAAAGTCATATTATCATTGAATGATAGTGTTAATAAGATTTAAAGTGTAATTAAAATTTAACGTTGAAACAATGACCTAATAATACTCTGAATAATTATTTTTTTATCTCCATCAACGATATATGTAAAAGAAGCTCATTAATTTAAAAAAAGGTTTAGAAAATTTGTGATAAGAAGAAAATGAAATGAATACGTCTGGGAATAAAAGATATAGAATATGAAACAAACTCGTAATTCGCTAATCCATATTTTCTTGTTTTCTTTTCGTCGTTTTTTAATTTTTGTATCACTCTTATCAATCATTGATCTTTTATCACGTCCTGATGCAGCAAAACGAGCCTCAAACTACAATTCAAATATTTCTAAACAAAACAATTGATACAAAAAGAAATTTCTTATCAATTTTAAATTGCAACTGATATTATCGAATTATAGTTAAGTGTTAATCATTTGAAAGATTGAAATTATAATTTTAATTAAGCTGTCAACTAGCATTAATTTATTTAGTAAGAAATTTTTCAAGAAATAGTATAAAGGAAGAAATTGATGTAAATTATAAATTAGTTAAAATATTTAATTAAATTATGAAATCAATTAAAATATTTGATAAATTATGGAATGAAGTTAGAATACTTACTTCTTCAAAACTATTTTCCTTATCATAGCCAAGCAAAACATCAATATCGAATGGTTTTCGAATGTAGCGATTACGTCGATGAATGCAATTCTGCCGATATATTTTAGGCTATAATCGAAAAGAATAATTAATTTAAGCAATAAGAAAATTAATTCAAAATTTTTAATTGAATTTCAAAAATACATGATGAATTCAGGAGTTTAAAATAGTAATTAGTCAATAATTTCTTAATTAGACGATTGAGTATACACTTCAAATTCATAATAAAATGACCTCTTCTTCATCATTCAGTTTTTTATGTTTAGCAAAATTCATCAATTCCTGTGTTTTATTTCTGGTACCGTACTTTCGTACTTCTCTATTTTCAGTACTTTCTAATACCTGAAATTATTTATAATTTTAAATCTAAGCATTTTTTTTTTGATCTCTTGAATATTAGAAGAATTGTAGAAATAATTATTTCTAATTATGGAAATAATTATGATATAATCTTTTATCTTATATCAGTTAAAAATTAAATCAATATTTATAAAGAATTCAAATAGCATCAAATTTTCTCAATTTATAAACTTTTCTGGTTTTTGCAACAATCGGATCCGTTTTCATTTGTTGTTTCTTGAAAATTTCAACGTTTAATGCCGAATTATTTTCAACATTAGATGATGAAGTCAAATGATGGTCCATTATTGATCGTTGAAGTTTTGTTGACACCTCTATAGCTGTTGTTTCCGCAATTTTTGATGCGCAATTACTTGGAGCTACAATAAGATTTATGCTTAAAAATTAAAATATTAAATTTATATAAAATTAAAATTAGAATTAAAAAATTTTTTTACCATTTTTGGGAACATTTCCTTTTACAGTTCCGGCATTCTTCTTTACTTCTACTTTCATTTTTGTTCCGGATGAGGGATTTTTTTCTAAAAATCTTTGTGAAATTAATTATTGAGGTTCGTGAAATTAATCATTGTGGCCTTATAAAATTTAATTTTACTACTGCTGTTGTAGCATACAATCAATTAATGAATTTTTAAGTCGTTCTAAAATCAAAGTTATAAAGTTTACTAAAAATTTTCAAATCCTTGCAGCCCTTTTTTATTTTGAATATTCCTTCATTTTTGTTTATTTATATTTACATCCAGTTTTCCGGATTGTTTTAGCAATATTGAATTGAAGAAAAAAGAAAACAGCTGGTACATTTGCGCCTTCAAAATTATTTTAAACATATGAGACTTCTCAAAACCTCTTCTTAATTATCAACGATTAAAAGTTTTGCTCTCAAAGAAAAAAGAAAATTCATAAATTTCATTGTTTCAGAATGTAATTTAGAAGGTATGATGAAAGACAAAATTTTAAACAATACTAAAATTCATCAAATTCATTGATTGAATTTTGTGCGCTTTATTAGTTGGATAAAATTAATTTAATTTTTTGCTACTGAATTTGATATTTCAATGTTTTAATCTTATTCGTAGTTTAGCCCTAAAATGCAACAGGAAATTCAGCTAAAATATTAAATCAAATAACTAACATATATTTCAATTATTGGTTATTTCATTTAAAATATTAATTAAATTTTAATTAACATTTTAAATGAAATTATTTAAAAGAATAATAAATGTATATATAGTAAATATATTGTAGTAAATGAATATATATTCGTTTCACCGATATGTAAATTTATTATACATATATCCAAAACATATTAGGATAAATTTAATTAATATTTTTAATTAAATAATTAATTAAAATTAAAACAAATATAATATATCAAAAGGAAGAAACAAGAAAATCTAATGATAAAAATAACAACCTGAAATTATCGCTTGACATTCTGTAACAAAACTTGGAATAACATTTATTGCTCCTGCTTGTTGTGTTACTTTCAATTGTCTTACTGTCTTTTTTGGTTCAGTTAATGATTGTGCCTAGAAAATATTCTTTTTTAAATTTATTGCTGTGAGGTTAAAGGTTAAGTAAACTGGGAATTTCTATTTTTCTTTAACTTTTGTTATATCATAATTATAGCAAACAAACTTTTATAATCGAAGCAAAAAAAGTCCAAAGAGGTTAAAGGTTAAGTAAACTGGGAATTTCCATTTTTCTTCAACTTTTGTAAAATTTACATCGTAATTTCAGCAAACAAACTTCTATAATTGAAGCAAAAAAAAGTTCAAAGGTTAAATGATTAAATTAATTTACCACTGTTGGATTTTTCACGATTTCTACTTTTGATACTTTTGATTGATGCATTTTTTGTTCATGTTTTTTGAGCTCTTTTTGATATTCAGCTGTACGATTCTCTTTCCACTTTTTAAAATTGTCACTTATTTTTCTGAAATTTACCATTAATTCGAAATTGTTTGCAAATAAGTTTTTAATTAATTAAGAATTAAAAAATTTAATTATATCATTAGCATTTGTATTATCTACTGCATTAACACAATTTTGTATTATCTACTGCATTTCTAAAAGTTTAATTTAAAATTTAAAATTATTCAGTGATTGCTTTATCAAATGACTAATTAAAGAAGAAAAAAATTATTTAATGATTGTTTTATTAAATGACAAATTAAAGAAATTAAAAAATTATTCAATGATTGTTTTATTAAATGATTAATTAAAAAAGAAAACTTTTCATAAATTAAATAACATAACTGTTTCTTTTAAAATTTACACATTCAATAGCCGTATTTTGATGTATAGAAAATAAAAATGAAAGCTATAGCAATTTAAATTATCAGTAATTAGAAAATAATAATTATTAAATTTTTTTTTCACAAATAAAAATAATGTAATATCAAAAAAGAGCAATGGATAAATTAGAATTAAAATGAATTTTTCAAAAGTCAAATATATTCTAATAAAATGAAATTAAATTAAATTAACCCAATTGTTTCATCTGCTTCAATCAATAGCTGTTGATGTTTTTGTTCAAGGATTGCTCGTCTTGCATCATCAGCAATCGTTGCAATACCTTGTTTTAATTCAGTAAACTGCGAACTTAACATTTTATTACCTGTTTTCATTTTCATACGAATTTCTTCAATCTAAAAAAAAAGTAAAGCATATTTAAATTAATGATTGAATTAATTACATTAATATCAGTTTAATAAAAATAATGAATATTAAATTGAATATTCAATAAATAATTACATTTAATATTATAATATTCATGCGTTTCAATTATTAAATTTAATTAGCAATAATAGGTATTAAAAATCGATGTAAATTTGTTACGAAATAAATTATTTAATCAATTATTATGTTTAAATTAATATCGGTTTAATTAAAATAATAAATATTAAATCGAATATTCAATAATTGATTACATTTAATATCATAATATTCATGCATTTAAATTATTAAATTTAATTAGCAATAATAAGTATTAAAAATGGATTTTAATTTGTTACAAAATAAATTATTTAATCAATAATTAGAAATGATATACTTAATCGTATTGCTTACTTGTTTATCAAAATTATCATTTATATTTGGTTTAATAATTGGTGCATAAGTACGTTTTGTTCTTTCATCATTTTTCGATGTTAACATTCGTGAACGTTTATATCTATAAATGGAAATTTATAAAATTAATGCAATAAAAAGAAAATGATATAATTAAAATGAAATTTTATTTAATACTTCAAATACTATAATATAGTCATATTCAAATTGATAATTCCATTTGTTATTTATAAAATTATATTCAAGTTTACTAATTCATACCTTAATGCACAAATTGGTAGCCTAATTTAATTTTTAAATAAAACGTAAAATTTTTTGGGAAATAAGTTTGCATAAACTTATTTAAAAATTTTAGGTAAATTTTAGGTAAATAAGTTTACGTGTATGCATTTGATTGATCCTCTTGTGAATTAAATTTTGCACTTAATATATTAACAATTCCAAATTTTCGAGCATTTTGTCTCGATTTCTCCTATAAAAGTAAATTTTTAAATTTACAAAAATTAAACAAAAGAATTAATTTCAAATTTTCAAATAATTGTTTTAAGAAAATTTCAAATTTTCAAATAATTGTTTTAAGAAAATTTCAAATTTTCAAATAATTGTTTTAGGAAAATTTCAAGATTTTAATTAATTATTTTGCATAATAAACAAAAGAAAGCAAGCGTTTTAAATTTAAATAAAAATTGTTACATTATAAATTAAATTTTGACGAATTTTTGAAAATGAAAATTTAAATATTACTACCATATTTTTTCCCTTTTCAAATTAATATGTTTATTTAAATTATCATCTTTCAGATAACGGCTAACCTTTTCCAAAGCACAAGCTTTTATTGCTTCATCTTTAGTCATATTTATAACTGATTTTCGTAGTGCTGATTTATCTTCCTAAAAAATTATCCAAAATTGATTGTAATTTCTTTTTGCAAATTATTTTACAAAAATTTATTTCGAAATTAAAATTCAGGAAATTTGATCAATTTTTTTTCACCTACTTTTTGACCTGAATTTGATGAAATAGTTGAGGGTGCAGATGTTGGCTTGGAAGATTCAGTATTGTCTGATTTATTGGTAGCACTTGTTGAATTTGAGGATGATGCTATCTCATTTAATGGCAACCTCAAAAATTTTTTCTCAGTATATTGTTATGATTGTATTAATTAAATTTCTTTCGGAACAAAAATTCGATGACAGCCGATGCAATTTTGAAATTGATGAAAATTTTTTTATCATCAAAACTTACTCTTTTTCATTAAAACAAACTTCAGTCTTTTGTATTTTAACAGTATCAAATTTTGATGGTAAAACGATCGCTTTCTTGGCCCAACTAGTACTTGGCTTTCGTTCAATAAAAGATCGTGCACTATCTACGGGATGATTTTCGGTGATCGGCGAAACATGAGTTGGTATTATTTCAATTTGTTTCGTTTCCTGTTTCAAAATTAAAATTAATCAATTTTTTTGAAAATAAAAATGATTAATTTTAAAATTTGCTAAAAAGAAAAATAAAAGAAAACAAAGGAATAATTTTTATGCTAACTTTTTCATCATCATGTTCCTTTACAATTGTTTCCGTTTGTTCCGGTTTTTGAACTATTAATTCATTGATTTCAATTGCTTCAACATTTTCCACTGCTGGTACCACATGTTGTGGTACCATTTTTCGAATAGCTCTTTTAGTTGCTCCTTCAGCGATATTCTCCATTGCTGCGCCTTCATCAGTTTTTTTGATCTATATTAAAAAAAGAATTCCATACAGTTATTGAAATTTATAATTATACAATTACAATTACTGAATATCAGTTTCTTTGATTTATATTAAAAAAGAATTCCACATAGTTATTGTAATTTATAATCATACAATTATAATTATTGAATATCAGTTTCTTTGATCTATATTTAAAAAAAAAGAATTCCATATATAGTTATTGAAATTTATAATTATACAACTATAATTACTGAGTTTAAATTAAAATATTAAATATTAAAATTACTAAATCTCTTCATTCCACCTTTTTATATCGCTCAAATTTTCATACAAAAAAATTAATGGGAATGAAATTTGAAGAAAAATTGATAGTAGAATTTAACCTTTTTAGGTTTTATCAGTGATAACATCACAAACTTGAAAATAATTAACTTCATATTACGTGAAATAAATATAAACCTAATTGTTAAATAATTATGAAAATATTATAACAAATAATTAATGTATAAATTAAGTAGAAAAAATTGAATGGTTAAATAAATTGGTAGACTTTTTCATTTTGAAATATTTATTTAAAAAAAGGCAAATGTTGAAAAAATAAATTTGACTTTTTGATTTTGAAATGTTCCCTTAAAAATACGTATTTTATTAGCTGAAAACTTTCTTTTAAAAAAATAATTAAAAAGCTTACAATGAGTTTTAATGCTTCTTCAGCATTCTGTTGTAAATCAATTTCTTCCGTATAAGTTATTTCACGAAATTTTTCCGGCACATCATTTTCTTCCGTTTCAATTTCTTCTACATTTGTTAAATTTTCCACGGGTGCCAATAGCTAAATTTTTATTTTGTTATTTCCAGTCTTTATTTTTTTCTCACATGAAATACTGAAGGATATTCTCCGCTTTTTTCTTTCCTCACATGAAATACTGAAGGATATTCTGAGACTGAATGCTTTAAAAGCAAAAGAAATATCGCTGATGATATATATATCAGTTATAGTGACAAGAAATTGAATATAGTCCAATTCAGGTAAGCAGGCAGAAAAAATTAATCGAGAAAATAATTTCTTTTGGTCTAATTAAACTGTAGCTTAATTAACCCACTAAAATAGAGTTTCAGAATTTTTTTAGAAAAAAATCAAAGTTTGAAAAAACTTTTTTTGCAATAAACTATCAAACTATTGTTTTAAATCGTTTTAAATTTTAAATTAAACATTTTAAATTATTGTTTTAATACTTAAGCTTAGTCTTAAATTAAAGACAGCAAAGCAACATATCCATTTTGATGCATAAGTTTCAATATTTCTGAAAATCTCACAACTATCTTTAAATGCACTAATTTAATTTAATTTCAACAATTAAGCCTATATCTATCTAAAAGTAATTCAATATTAAATACTATAAAATCATTGTGTAAGAAAGAAACAAAGAATTAATTAAGCCAATTAAAATAAAACCCCTTTTCGTTTTTTTTTCTTCATAAAATTTATTATTATTAACTGTACCGTATCATCGAATATTTCGTCACATATTTCATCAATTTCAATATCTTCTTCTTCTTGCATCGATGCAATCATTACTGGTGGAATTGAAATTGATGAAATCTATAAAAAGAAAAAAGGTCGTTTAAATGTAAATTAAAAAATTAAATTAGAGGTCAAATTTAAACAGATATACAAAAACATTTAAGTTTTAATGAAAGAATAGGAAATTAAAATAAAGCAATTTGAATAATACTTTTCTCCCTATTTATTTCGGAGCCATATGATTCAAATCTATCTTCGTTAATTTCCGCAGTATCCTTTCATTCAGATCTTTACAAATTATGGTATAAATTTGAAATTCTATTTGTAAGTTATTAAATTTTGTTATCATATCCCCACGCTATCAATTGCAGATTCTAGTGGTTCGGTTTCCATTAAACATAAATCTTCTGATGTTTCATCTGATTCCTCTTCATCATCCTCCGTATATTCATCGTCATATTCATCATTGGTGCATGATTCCTCTTCGTCATACTGTAATTCATACTGTAATTGTTAAATTATTTATGTTTCCCTAATTTCAGACGAAAAATATACGGTTGTTACCATTATTTGTATACGTTTCCTTTTTGTCGTAATCGCGCTCTAATTTATATAGCTTTATTTATTTTCTACCAATTTCAAAGGAAAGCATATACCAGTATTGCATAGCATAATTTTTCTTTCTATTAATTTTAGGAACAATTTTTTAATTTAGAAAATTTTTTCAGAAAAAAGAAAATATTTCAAAAATATTAGACGAATAGGGAAATAATTTGAAATAATAAAACCTCTGAATTATCATAATATTCGATGGATGATTCCTCTTCATCAGCTTCCTTTAATGCTGCTTTCTGGACAAGTTTAAGCGTAAAACCAACATCAACATTATGCCGATATTGCATGCTATCATGCTGTAAGTAATAAATTTGAAAAAATTGTTTTGATCGCATTTTGTTGAAATTTACAATAAAATTTTATAGATAATACTTACATCATCGATAGAGGAAGAATTAGGACTAAAATAAATTCCAAAAGTTGAAGATGATGGACGATAGTCATCAGTTTCCATACAACTTCTATTTCTTGAACAACCTCCTAAACTTTACAGTAAGTAGTTTTCAAATGATTTGAAACTAATAACAAAGGAAAAATGATAAATTAAAATAAATCAGTTACCGAAAGTAAATGACACAAAATTATTATATTTATAAGGAAATAATCAAATTTTCAAAAATTCATTAATTTGAATATCTAAAATTCTTTCAAAGTTTCACATAATAATTCACCTTCAGAATTAAAATCATCGATATCTTCATAATCTGACAATGATTCTATTGATTCTTCTTGCGCTGAATCCCAATCATCCATACCATCGTAGCTAACTGATGTTGTAAATATCGGTGCTGGTGCTTCCATAATTTTGGAAGCACGTCCTCGATTGTCGTCATTTCTACAATGAAAAAAAGGAAAACTAATTAATAATTAATAAAGAAGACTAATTAATAAAGAATAAAAACAAAAAAATGGTACTCTTCATTTCTTGTCAAGAAATTTTTCCAAATTTTTTCACTGCAATAATTAGCATCTGCCAAAAATTATCTTTATTCCGCATTTAAAAATGAAGAAACTATAATTAAAAAATAACCTTGTTCGTGGTTCAACAATAAATTCATCGTTAAAATCATTTTCGTAGTAAGAAATGGGTGGAGAAGAACATTTCCGGCACTCTGATATTTGAACCGGATAAACATCACCTTAAAAAAAATTCCTCCTATCTTATCAATTCTCTACTACTTCAAAAGTTTCATAAATATTAAAATCAAAAAAAATGATGATTATATTTTAATTTTATTTTTGAATTACAATTATAAATAATTATTTCGTGTTTTCATTTCTAAATTTATTTCTAAATTTAATCACAGGTAAAAATTTCGTAATTTTTTGTTGCTTAAATAATATTGATATTATTTAGTGCTTTCATTTCTAGATTTAATTTCTGAATTTAATTGCAAGTAAAAATTTCGTAATTTTTTGTTATTTTAAATTTAGTATAAAAAATTAAATTACAAATGGAAACCTTTTAGGGCTAATTTTTTGTTCAATGATTGCATCAGATTGAAAGAAGTTTTTAGGGCCACCTTTGCTACTTAATTACCGGTAATTTAGAGAACGATGAAGACTGGTTGAATTCATTTATGGCATTAGAAAGCAACCTCTTAGCTTCTTTTCCATTTTGTTATCATCCGTTTGTAATTCAATTGTTTCCGAAATGATTATATCACTTTCAAAATCATTCCCTTCCATATTTGATAATATTTGATTTCCTGCAAAAAGTATTGATTGAATTTTTATTTAATTTTTTTAAACTATTTTTTGTATTTTCAAATATTACATCAAATGTCACAGATTTTACAGTACTTTAACTATAAGAATAATTAGCATATATCATTTATTACTAAATTATTCGCAATAATAATCGATATGAAAGTATATTCTTGAAAATGTTAATAAATTAAAATTTTTAAACTCTATCAAACCTTCGTGATCATTATCCTTATCAATGATTTCTGCTATATTAACAGTACTGTTATCATTAAAGGTAAATTCGGTGGTAAGGTTATTTGGTGAATCATCTTGTGTCGGCTGTGTAACAAGCAATAATGGTAGCTTATGATCAATCGGATTTTGCTAAAAAAAGTACTAAAAATATTTATGCAAAGAAAAACAAAAGAAGAAATCATCAAAATTAAAATTAACTCGTAAAATTTGAAATTTTATTTATCAAAATATGGACATTGGTCAGATTATATAGAGTGATTCAATAGTGATCAAATTAAATAGAGTGATTCAATAATGGTCAGATTAAATAGAGTGATTCAACCGGATTTTTATTGGTCAGATTAAACAGAGTAATTCAACCGATTTGATATTTGGAAATTTACCTCAAATGGATTAAGATCTTGAAAAAATATTACTAATGAAAAGATATGCAAAAATATATATCATTTAAATTTCATTTATATTTACAGATAAATAATTATTACTTTTTTTCCTCCTTCTTCTTCCTCTTCTTCCTCCTCCTCCTCCTCTTCATCCACTTCCTCTTCTTCATCACTTTCTTCATCCTCCTCTTCCTCTTCATCTTCATCGATGGATTCTTCATCATACACTTCATTTTTTATGAGTGCATTATCTGTTTCGCTGGTTATTCCGATATTTTCCATTCTTCGATCCTTTAAAAAATATAACAGAATTACATGTCTAATTATCAGTAAAGAATGGATGCATCTGTTGCGCAAATGGTAGATTTGCGTATCGATGTAAAATTATTCTTTCGCATCTATCCACAAATATACACAAATGTATCGATGACAGAGTTGATGCATTTGTGCATAGATGCGGAATTAATACATCTGCGTATCGATGCAGAATCGTTGTGCATTTTCTGCATAGATGCGGAATTAATACATCTGCGTATCGATGCAGAATCGTTGTGCACTTTTGCCTAAATGCGGAATTGGTACATTCACACATTCACATATAATCAATCATATTACTATCGCAAGTAAAATGAATTAGTAAAAGGTTGATAAACGAATAAAAATAAAAATAAATGCATTACCTTAAAAAATGATGTAATTTCAACATCCAAATTATCCGCTATATAATGCTGATCGTTAACGGATTCTAATTTTTGATCATCTATAAAAAAAAATTGCTTTTTCCAAAAATTTTGAACTACAAGAAGCTAATCCATTAAAAAATTATTCCTAGTAAAATTTGATCAAAAATTAAAAAAAGATTTTTACAAAAAAAATTTTTGAAATATTTGAAATGATTGATAAACAAGAGAATAGTATTGTTTAAACGAACAAATTTGCATAATCAAATAATACTAAATTCGAAATACGTTGTGATACTAAACTTTGACTATTTTTCAATTCAATATAAAAGAAAAAAATTGAAACATTTTTTAAAAAAAACAATGTAAATAAAATAATTAGTAATTAAACAAAATTAATAAAAACTTTTGATATTTAAAATTATTCTCATTTATTATCTTTCTACAATTTTCTGCTCTTTTTTTTTCTACGATTTAAATATATTTCTTATCAATAATTTCGTTGTTAAATTATCTCTTATCTGATAACAAATTGAAATGATAAAACAAATGATAGCATTAACAGTTGACAACTTATTAATGCAAATTTATATTTTCAATATATTTCAATGCAAATTTTAAACTCTTGAAAAATCGATAGGAACAATGAAAGAGATAGAATAAAACAAAAATTTTCATGATTTTTTTTTCGCATGATATTTATATTTGTTTAAATTTAAACACACAATCATTGCTTATTGACAGCCATTATTTACATTACTTAAAATGACTTGATTTTATAGTTGAATGATTTGATTGGAGTTTCTTTCTCTCTCTTTTTTTTTCTCTAGCTATTTTAACAGGTGCAAAATGAATGAATCCTAAATTTTACAAAATGGATGAATTCCAAAAAATGGATTCTAAGAAACTTTCGGATGATTTGATTGGAAAAAAATTTTAGGGCAGAATTATAGTTTCTTTCTCTCTCTTTTTTTTTCTCTAGCTATTTTAACAGGTGCAAAATGAATGAATCCTAAATTTTACAAAATGGATGAATTCCAAAAAATGGATTCTAAGAAACTTTCGGATGATTTGATTGGAAAAAAATTTTAGGGCAGAATTATAGTTTCTTTCTCTCTCTTTTTTTTTCTCTAGCTATTTTAACGGATGCAAAATGAATGAATCCTAAATTTTACAAAATGGATGAATTCCAAAAAATGGGTTCTAAGAAACTTTCGGATGAACGGATTCTGAATGGATTGTAAAATTTTTAAAAAACGTTATAAATGTGATTTAACGAAATAGCAAAAAAGAGCATTGAATGAAAAATATTGAAGCATTTTATTGATCTTTATTTTTATTTCATACATACATCATTTTCTATTTATTCAAAATATATCAACAAATTCTTTTCTTTCAATCTCTCTCTTTCCTCTCTCTCTCTCTCTCTCTCTCTCTCTCTCACTTTTTCCTATTTTTTTGTCAGAAATTCTTTTTTTGATTGAAATTTTTCGGAAAGATAAAAAAAGAGAAAAAATTTCTAAATAATAAAATTTTCAATTAATCCTTTGTTTTAGAATTTTATTTTAGGATTAATTAAAAGTTTTTATTTTAATACTCTCAAACAAAAAATAAGCTGAAATATGCAAATTTATATGAATTCATCAAAAATTGCATTTTTACAAAATATCTCAGTTTCAGTGATAGTTGAAAAAAAACCGGAATTTCCGGATGCAGATAGAATTCGATGAGTGGGAAAATTTTGATATATATGCGGAACAATAGAATGAGGTGAAGAAGAAATGTTGAAAGTAGGTAAATAAAGGAATTTTCAAATATCGATAATTTGTATGTATTAAATGTTCACATTAATAAAATGATACGAAAATAGCAGGTAAGTAAATAAATCGATATTTACCTGATAATTCGGCAACTTTTTCAATATCATTATTGTGTTTCATTTCCTGCAATAATTGTTGCAAAAATTTTTGCATTATTTAAATGAAATTGAAATCGATAAAATATTTCATTTTAAATAATTAAATTAAAATATAATTAATTTATTTGAAGTTATTATATTTAATTATTATATTTGGTTATTTTTATTATTATATTATTTCATTATTATAAAAATTTGTTTTATATTTTATATATTCGCACTGTTATTTAAATATAATAAAATAATAATAATGATAATTTAATTGCTTTCTTTATCATAATAATAACAAAAAGTTCACATTTTTTATTTATATTTATAGTACGATTTAATTTAATCATTCTTTAATTTTAATAATAATTATTATATTATCATTGTT